GTCACATGACATCAGCTTCTCCATGGCCATCTTGTCTGAAATGGAGCAGTTTGAAGATTGACTGAAAGATACAAGAAACCATCAAGCTAAACATAAGATATTTTTCTTTCCATTATGCTATCTATTTATAATTTTTGTAATTGCTGTATGTCAGATTCCAACTATCCCAACACCTCGCTAGCCCACCAACACAACTACTGCCCCCTTTCCATGGAATATATGACTATTGGGGGGCAGCATGTGGCTCAGTGGGCTAATTTCTCTACAGAGATCAATAAAGTCCCAACTAAAATTATTTTCAAAAACCTTCCCCAAAACTAACCCCACCCTCTACCCTCCCACCGCAACTATTCCAGCATCCAAATACCCCATCCACATCATCTACCTCCAGCATGTCTGTACCTTCCTCCATTGCTACTCCAGTATCTATATTTTGCCAGCTTTGTTAAAATTTATTCATAGAATATTCTGTCCAGTTTGTGTTTGTTGATCTGATGCACTCAGATATCTGCTCTGGACACTGTCGGAGGACAAAACACCAAAATGATCACATGGAACATTCTTTCAAAGATCAGATCCTGTGGCCCAATATATAAATTGGAATGGGGCAAATGGAAAAATGTGTTGTAAAGACCAGAAGTTTGCTGATCGGTAAGTATCCTGTTATACAGTTTGGACATGGATGTTGCATATGAATGGACTGGCAAATCAGTTCCAGGCTTCATTGCTTAATCTGTTTAATACTAAAGTAAAATGTATCACTTCAATGTTAACAGGGAAGCTCCTATCAGTCATTGATTTTGCAAACATTCATTGTGGATACATTTGTAAATGGTATTCTTTCCACTGTTATTTCTAAATCACACTAGACTCACATTGCAAGATTACAATCTCTGCATACATTTTTAATACTTTGGTCAAGTTGAGTCAGGAATAATATAAATGAAGCATATTGCATCCTAATGTTCAGTTCACTTCTGTTTACACCCATTTTTCTGATGTGCAGTGCAAAGAACTTAATTAGGTAAAAGGGTGCCACTTTACAATAAGGCTACCCTTATAAATGGATTATGAATGGTTTATAAGCAGGTTATTAATTAGGTTGTAACACGTTGTAAATCATTAATAGTCAATTATAAACAAGTTATACTACAGTTTTCTTTTTATTAATGAGTTACTACCATTTATAAGTGGCAAAGGGAGCCTTATTGTAAAGTGGTACCTTAAAGGACTGAGAAGGGTGATTACTCAATGTAAGGCTACAGTACATATGTATAATAGTATGTGCCATAATTATACTTAAGATATTTATTTAAGGTAAAGCTTAGGCTTAAGGTTTTGTTAATTTATAAAATGCACATGTCACATCCCTTCCTCCCCCCCTCCGTGAGAATGTGAATTCATCGTTGTTTGCAATTATCACAATACCATTTGAACATAGCATGATCCTGGGATTTACGTGAGGTACTGTCGAATTCCGTATGAGATGTGCTGAGCATTCTTGCCTTTGTCCTCTGTCTAGCTTCAAACTGCCCTGCAGACCCTGCCTGATCTGCCTGTCAACCCCAAGCCACTCCCCTCCTGCCCCTCCACGCCTCGAAGTTCACCTGTGTTCCGTGTGAGGTCTGCGTTTCAGGACTGACCCATGGCTCCCAACTCCTTGGATCCTGTGTCTGGTTTCCTGTCCCTGAGCCTCCCTGGTACCAACCTGATTTTGGATCCTGACCACGTTTTTTTTTCCTGCCCCGTCACTGACTTTGCCTGAGGTGCTTAATAAAAGCTGGTTTCCTCTCATGTTTGTGTGCAGAACTCTATTTGTTACAGCACACCAATCTTCAAATTATATTAAAATAATAACATGCTAACATATGCTTTTTACAAAGCTGGTATACATGAACATGCTATCTAAATGACAGACACTTGGAAACATATTGGCGACCCCCCCCCCCCCCCCCAATGATTCGATTTATTGAGAGGAGGGGGATTTCTACACTGAATTTTGCTGAGCCAGGGGTATGAAATGTATATGAATACTAGGGACAAATTGCTGAATGGTTTTAGAAGAACTATTTTTCAGAACCACCAACGGTTATCATTTGTCAGGTAATTGTGGTTAAACACAACAGTGGTTAATTCTAAGTAGAGAAATATGTATATAAACTGTAATTTGAATCAAATCATAATTGATAATTGCACAAAGTAATTAAAGCTTAATTATTTATGATACGTTAGAATTACAGTGCATTTATCAAACAAGGAGGATGCAGATACGGCCCAGAGCTGAACTAGAGGTAACATGAACATACCGAACCGGAGTTGAACTCCGATGTGATATGGATCTGGCCTGGAGTTAAATCGAAAGTGACATGGATCCGTATCGGATCCAGCCCAGGAGTTAACATATGTGTCAGATCCAGCCCGTGCTCACCCACTGCTGGAGTCCATGCCGGATATGATTCATCATACCAAAAAACACAGAGCTGGATCCTTGTCCCAAATCTGGGCCAGAGACCACATCCGGCCTGGGTCTGTGCCAGATACATTTTGCTGTCTGGGTGGAGGATTACAACCCCACCGACTCTTAAGACCTAAGCCAATGACAGTGTTGACACCTTGCCAACAGCTTATCATTTCAATTCAGTATGTAGTATATGCAGACCTTCATATTTAAGGACATTAATAACAGAAAAGTGTTGCAAAGCAAAGGTTATTTGTTTAAATTCCATGAATCGGTTTAAAGTGGAGGACAGTGGTACAAAGATGGTAGGGTGCAGGAGCTTCTCAGCTACTGGCCGCCATGGCATCATTAACTCCCCCCACTAACCGGGGAAAGTATGCGGTATTCCAACATAGCGATCAAACCGGAGCTCAAAGCGGCACTGGGCAGACTGGGGCTCCTGGGGACAGCGGGCTGGAGGAGGGAAACACACTAGCTGAGGGGAAGGAGGAAGCGACATGCACATCGGCAGAAGAGGGGCAAGCGGGTCAGCCTGTTTGCCAGGCTAAACGTTAGGTGGGCACTGCAGGTGGGGGGGGGGGGAAATCTGCTCAAAAGATCACTCACAGCAGTCTTCAATTTACTGAGGAAATTTACATCAACAAACGCAGAAGCAGGGTGTCCTGCTTATCAAGGACCCCACCCACCATGCATATGGACTGTTTTTCCCCCTCCCCTCAGGCAGAAGGCTGCGAAGCATCAAAGCCAGAACATCAAGGCTTAGAGACAGCTTCTTCCCGGAGGCTGTGAGACTCACAAATTCACTACCTCAATGACTGGCTGACCTCACTGCTCCTTTCCTTCATTCCTCAGCTGGGCCTCTACTGCTAATGTGCTGCTCTCATTTTTTAACAATGTTGTTCTGTAACTTTCTATTGTATGTTGCTGGACCTGAGTCACAAATGTCATTATCTTCATGTGTCAACACGTTAAGGATGACAATAAATGAACCTTGAAGTAATGTTAAAATGACCTTTTTGACCCACTAGTATGAACCAGATTTTTTTTTTTCATTGACATTGAAATAGTCCTAAATATTAGTCTGTATTTGGGAAACAATCTACTTGAGTAAGCACAAATACTCAGTTACTCCTAAAATACAAATCATGAAATACAGCATCTATATGAGATAAAAGACGTGTGAATTCATTAATGGTGAACGAACATGAGATCAATCATGTTATTCATGATATGTTTCTTCAGTACTTCTTTAGTACTTCACAAAGGTTTACTAAATTAACTAATACAGCAAAAATATGGTAAGTGCTTAGGATAGAAAATGGATCATGATTCATTAATGATGAACAAATTTGCTGTGGTGGACTGGCGACCTGCCCAGGGTGTACCCTGCCTCTCGCCCGATGATGCTGGGATTGGCTCCAGCTTCCCCGCGACCCTGATGGATGAAGCGGTATAGATAATGGATGGATGGGTGAACAAATTTGTGATCAGAATTCATGTGTGTTATTCATTACTTGATCCTTCAGTAGTTTACAAAGGTTTACAGAATTTTCAAATATAGTAGCAGATATAGTCATTGCTTGAGGCAAAAGATGTCTCCCGATTCATTGATGATGAAAGAACATGACATAAGCATGTAACTAAGACTTCTGGTTAATAAATACGCAACAAATGGCATTATACTACCTTATTTGTGCTCCCTCAAGTAAAGTTTTACCATTTAGGATTTTGCAGGGTTGCACTGTTCTGTTAATTACCTGTAGTCCATGGAGAAGGCAATAAAGCAAGAATTTCACTATACTGTGTACACTGTATTTAGTACATATAACAATTGAACTGAATCTTGATTTTGTGATATGTGGTTTCCAGAACTAATCCACTAAATAAAAAAAATCTAAAAACAAAAATTCAGTGGACGGGTGAACATCTTAGTGTTAGTTTACTTCATAACACTACAGACTTGAATAGCTTACAGTTTTATCGTTCGCTTTCACTGTTATTTAGTTTAATTTTTCTCAGCAGTAGCTAATAATAACGAGCAGTCCTTGAGCTTGGATATTCGGCTCGCAAAGCAAACCTGTTGTCGTTCGCAATTCAAATGTATTTAATTGCGAAAAATAACCGGAGGCAGAAAGTTCATGTTCATAAATTACAAATCCAGACCAAGATTTTGTTCCAGCCAACCAGCTGCGCATAGAGAGTCACATTCACAGAATTATGAACTGGTTGGTTTGAACAAAATATTGGTCTGGATCTGAACTTCCCACCTCAAAAAATAATTAGCATCTGGAGTGGATCATAGTATGTAAGTAAAAATTATTTATAAAGCACTTTTCACAGACGCAAGTCACAAAGTGCTGTACATAAAAATTCACATTAAAAATGAGCATACCAAAGAGAATATAAAACATGAGAGTAAAAAGAACATTTGTAAAATATATTAGAAAACAAAGCCAAGCAGCGTTAACTCTGCTCTACACAAACGCCTTCTTAAACATGTTCTGGGCGATGGCAGGAAGGTAAACTCAAATCTAGAAAATGACTCTCGCTTGCCGTAGTGACGTTGTGAAGTACGCTGGTCTCGCCCACTGATGCTTACATAATTAATTTTGAACAGGAGGGAGACTCTGACTGTGCAAAGCGAAGTTACCCTGAGCTGTACCTGCAATTTTTCCAGGTATATTCTAATGTTTTTCGTTCGTCCGAAACGGCAACGTCTTAAACATCCAATAAAAAATCTAAGTGTGAACGATTGCGTGTATTTTTGCGCGGTCGTTTTGGCTGTCCTTGGGTACAGGTCATGGTGACAAATTGAGGTCGGAGTGACTGTTGAAGTGTGAAATTAGATGTCGTTAGTTAATAGTTTATATCATTTTCGTTGTCAGTTGTTATAGATGACTGAATGAAAACCACGGTGAACTTTAAGCGTATTTTACACCGTTCGTGTTCATCAGTCTTTCCAAGAAACTTTTTTAATTGTTCATCACGTACTTTATACTTATGGATTGCATTGTTTGATTGTACAGGAAGTGATTTAAGTGTACTTTTAGGCGTCTGAGTGGGACAGTCCTAGGAAAATGTTAGTATAGTTTCCGCCGGAGTGGCGCGGAGCCGCAGAGCTTTGTTCTGCAGTCCTGTCTACTCGTTGATCCGCTCATATCTGTTCAGAAATGTTGTAGATGCGTGTATGTGTGCGGCTAGTTTGGGCAGTGTTGATAAGTACGCGTTAGTAATGAATTTATCAAGGATCGTATTTAGAGAATGAATTTAGGGGTACTGTATGGCGCACGAATCACGCGTCACACCACTACCCTTTGCTGTGGCTGTGAGACGAACAGAAACCGAGATAAAATGGAACAATCTCATGAATGCTGATCTGCGTTGCAGAGTTCATAGTTACGCTGAAAGAATCGTCGACCTTTGGCATCAGCGATTCAAAGACGGATATGTGGTTATTAAAAATTAATAGCGAGAGCAATGTTTCAAGCGCAGGTAGATTTAACGAGTGATAGCATACTAGTGTTATTTCCATCTTCGACATCCAGTCATTTTAATAGACTAAACCTTTAGTTTGATTTGATTTTAAAGAAAGGAGGTTATTGTAGCTGATATTTTGATGATGGTGCAGTGGTTCGCTGGGGAGCAGTGTGCTCTCACACCTCAGGCTTGTGGGGCTCATTCCACACCCTAGGCCTAGTGCATGTGTGTCCCCTGCAGTTGGATGAGTCATTCCAGGAAATGAATATTAAGTTGGTTTACTTTTGATGTTTCTTGGTGTATTTTATAGATTTCTTAAATCTAAAAAGTAGTGTGTTCACTCATTTTCTAACCACTTATGCTGTGCCGAGAGAACTCGACAACCTTAGAAGTGAGTTCCAGCAGTGCTACCTAAAGCAGTACCCTAATTTTATCTCTACAGCCTTGTTGGTTTCTCTTTGAGTGTCTTTTGGTTACCTTGCATTTCATTCATGTCACCAGGATGGGTGCCATGTCGAAAGAATTCGGCTTTGTGATTCTCACCGGAGCTGCTAGCTTCGTCATGGTCGGCCACCTGGCCTTCAAAGTCATGCAGGCGCGCAAGACGTACAAGGTGGAGGTAAGAGCGGGAGAGACGGTGCCTCACAAAAACTGTTCATAAACGAGTAAACCCTGGATGGATGAAATCAGTGAGTCTGTGTTTGGGACAGTACCCCCAGATGTACAGTGACGATCCTGACACCGGCAAGATCTTTAACTGCATCCAGCGTGCCCACCAGAACACGTATGTACTGTAAAGCAGCCCCTGCAGTAGGGGAGTATACCCTATAACTTAAATCAGTGTATTGGTTATAATTGGAAGCAATTCTAAATAGCCTCCTAAGCTGGAGCACTTCTTTGTTCACAGTTTGGAGACGTATCCCGCCTTTTTATTCTTTCTGGCGATAAGTGGACTACACAACCCTGTAAGTATTAACCTCTCTTAAATGCACATGCATGAGTGTGTGCGCATGGGCACGCTTTTGGTCTTTTCAGTTGACTTAACAGCTGTGTGCCTTCTGGATGGCTGCTTTCTTTATTGCCGTGTGTGTGTGTTTCCTCCACAGCGCCTCTCCAGCGGTCTGGGGATGATCTGGGTTTTAAGTCGGGAGGCCTACGCGTACGGGTACTCCACGGGAGGTAAACTGCTTGTTTACATACACTTCATGCAGGTGCAGAGATTGGCATTAGTCACAACATGACCTGAGATGATGCACTGACCTGATTAATCGACGTTGTTGTCACGGAGACCTGGATGCTGTATATTGTTAAACATAGATATTCATCATGAAATCCCATCATGCCTTGGGTCCATAGGTGGAACATAAAGCATATGCTCTCTTTTTCAGACCCAAAGAAGAGGAAGTATGGCGCTTTGGGGACCTTTGCTCTTATTGGACTGGTTGGGTCATCAGTCAATGTTGCCGCAATCCTTCTAGGTTGGGGAGGCAGGAAATGTTGTTAAGCCCCCTACCCCACCCCATTACCGTAATGAGGGCTAAAAGGCTGAAAGTAAAAAACCTTTTGTTTATTGTAATATCTTTTTGAATTTGGATTAAACATGTTGAGTACAATCTTGTGCACAGTAGTGTGTTTTTTTTTTTGTGTTTTGGGACCAGCAATACTTGTATGTATTATGCGTTATATAATTGCATATACACACAATCGTATGCATGTTCCATATAAGCGATTGCATCACAGGACACACACATATACATTGAGCAGGAAGAAAAATCCAGTCTGTGGAAGTGGGAGGCTAAATCAAAGACTAGGTTTGTGCAAGATTCTGCAGTTGCTTACTTTTAGAATTGGAATTCAGAATTTAGTGATCAGTGGTCATTGTCAACACAGCACACAGTGCGCAACAACGAAATGTGACCTCTGCATTTCACCCATATGTGACTTTCGTGACATAGCAGGGGGCAGCTAATTCAGTGCCCGGGGAAGCAGTGCTTGGGGACGGTACCTTGCTCAGGGTACCTCAGTGGTGACTTGCTGGTCAGGGATTCGAACCTGCAATCTTTCAATTACTAGTGCGCTACCCTAACCATCAAGCCACCACTGCCCACAGTAACCTCCTTACCGCCTTCAACCAACTGGAAGTCTGAAAGATTAATGCAATAGATTAATGCATTATATGGTAGTTATATTTGTTTGCTTGATGTACATTCCCCAAATTAATTTCAGCCTTCTAATATGTAATAGTAAAACCTTTATTAAATCTTGTTTCCAAAATCAGGAAAGCAATCTCAAGAAAGGTAATGATTAACATTCACTTGAAAATAGTCATAAAAGGTATATTTCAGAGTGGATTTCATCTAAGAGTCATTATTCCTACCTTTTGTAGCACCTGCAGTCAGTATTTACCCCACTGTCTCTGTCCAAGTCCTAACTGGAGCCCCTTTCTGCAGTGCAGTTGAATCTCCCACCCTGCAGAGCTGATGTTGCCATCCATTGGCCGCTGGACAATGGCAGCAGCCGGTTGGACTTTGAGTCGCGGGATTGCAGCTTTGTGTCGAGCTGCTGTGTCTTTTGTCTTTCGCGCAACGTGGGCAAACAGGCCTAGATAAACAAAGACGGCCGTTTGGAATCAAGCTAAGGGAGTGAAGAAATATTAATATCCTCCAAAGATGATGGAACATTTTGTGTGTTATTTTTAAACTGGTCACACTCATGTTTGTGGTATTTCTGGTCACATTAACTGTAAAATGGCTACAGGTTTATCTGTATTAGGATAGTGCCTTTAATCAAAACAGGGGTTTGGGGTTTAACAGCTGGGTAGCAATGTGGGGTTAGGGGCTGCTGTGTATGTGGGTTTTTGCTGTAACTCCTTGATTGCTAATTAGAGGACCGATTGGCTGAAGAGTCCTCACACCTGGGTTTGGACAGCTGACCTAAAGGTTATCCCAAAAACCTGCATACACACCGGCCTACCCCTGCTTTAGACGAAAGCATGTGTAAGAACTGTTTCTGATTTGAGTGAATGCAGTGCTGTACTGTGTGTTTGGCCTGTAAATGCCATAAACCATATTACTCTGATGAAAAGGGAAGTGTTTTCTTTGTAGCTGTTATAACTTGCTCCTCTCTGTATCATCATGTCATAACAGATATCACGGAGAGGCTTGTGCAAACATACCTACAAAGTGTCAACAAACATGTACAGTAACACTATTGGAATTGTCTCAGAAAATGACTTCAAGGCTTGCTGAGTAACTGCCTAGACTCAAAAGACGATGTATTTAAGGAACGTTGAAACAATCTAGAGAGAAATTCTTATGTGAAGAGGATTTATCTGTTTTGAAAATTAACAGTGCATATGAGTGTACAGTGAGTTTGCATTGTGTTGTCTCAAGTATATTTAACTCATAAGTTTCAATGTTGACCTGAGAAAATGTAGATCCTGCTGGGAATTGCATGATGCGTCTAATACCCTCACAGTTATGGGCTGCTGTCCACCAGGTGACTCATGGGGAGTGGGGATGCACTTTAACTTTTATACAGAAGCTGTAGTTTGAGCTGGTCAGACAGCTACACTGGATCATGGGCTTAGGTGTGCAGATATTCGCCCCTCCTACTGGGAAGCGGCACTAACCTTTGCATGCATCTGGAAGGAGTCCAAGCATTTCTTCACTTTTTTCCCTTTGTGGAAGGAACACTAGTTATCCGGTTTGTCTGCCTCGCAATGAGTTTGCAAAAACTGAGCGCAGGAGAGGCCTTCCCATCTCCAGGGCCGGTCACCTGACAGGGCGTCACGGCAATGACAGATTGTCTCCTAGACAAGTGTTTCTCGACCCAGTCCTAAGGGTCTCACAGAAGTTCCACGTTTTTGCCCCCTCCCAGCTCACCGGCTGGCAGTTCACATGCACCTCCTGTGTGTCCCTGAGGACTTGGGGGGGAAACCCTGTCCTACACACATCACTGTCGAACATGATTCAGACATTAGCACAGAAATTTGTTGCAAACTGTTCTCATTATATTGCATTATAGTTTGCTGTTAGACCAGACTGCATATCTTCATATCAGCTTTTTTTTTAAATAAACTTTATTCCTGGAACTATATGTTGTTTTTTTCATCCAAATGGTTGAGTGTCTGGGGGCTTAACAAGGAGACTGACTCGTATGCTGATGGAGGTATAAAAGTCTGGCTTCAGGGCTTGAAGCTCCATGTTTGTTAGGAGCTCCCTCAGGATTCGTTTCATACATTAAAAGTCTCTCACTACTCATACAGGAGCATGAGGTAGTTTGAGACCATGTCAGATTTCATTTTCAGGCAAGACTTGAGCGAAGAGCCTTTTGTGGGGTCTGAGTGACACTAAAGTGGGTGTGTTGATGGGCCCTCATGTTAATGGGCCCTCATTTCAGCACCTCACATTAATGCCCTGTAGCTGGGCAGGTGTAGCAGATTGCTTTTTCTAAATCACACATCTTTTTTTTCCCCTTGCATTGAGGAAAATCAAAGACTATGTTGCATGAGATCTGGCTATTACAGCTGACAGTGGAAGTCTGAAAAGATTAATGAAGTTAATGCAGTATATTTAAGAGTGAAATGCCTTGTGACTCCCTCAGCTTCCTTCCACAACCCCATGTGGTGTGTTGACATAAGAAGAGTTTGGCCCTGAACTGGAATAAGCCCCAAGCCAAGATGTTTTCCTCAGATTCCACTGAAGACCCAGATGAGTCCACTGGCCACTTCTGGCCTGCAGCTAAACCAAAGCAGCTCATCAAATCGCTTCTCGAGGGATAAGTTAGGGACACTGCAATATAACACACCCTCCTCCATAATGCTTCAGCCATTTAACACTTTGGAGTTCCTGATCTGCAGGCTTCTGGCTCAGCAGAAAGAGGAACTCACTTCGAACAGGACGGGAGAGCGGGTATGGGTGGGGCCACAGGCATTCAAATCTCACTGGCAGAACTGGAAACCAGACGCATACAATGTGGAAATGGCCCCTCCCCGCACCCACAAAGAAAAGCCACAAATGGCCCATAAAACTGAAACAACAGCAAAAAATAAAAGTGACCATGTCTGAAAAAGCACTCAGTGTTATTCTGAATAAAAAGCAGTCAGTTTTATTGACCACTGACCATCTACTTACAATTGCAGTCTTATAAAATTGTTTAGTTATTTGTTTGAATCTTAGTAGCACATAATAATTCGTTACATTGATGAAACAATGAATGCATCTATTTATTCATTTATTTGTTTGTTTGTTTTGGTTATAGTGAACACAATATAACTGAAGTGTCATTACCTGCTCGTACTGCCCTCACGTGGACCACGCTCTCTCATTTGCCCCGTGTGCATCCCGCCCCTTAACAGTTATACTGTTATACTGGCAATGGGTTGTTGCACAAAGTATTAAAAGCAGGGGTGCCAATAATCGTGACATGTGTTTTTGTTGAAAATAATTATTTCTTGATTAAGGATTTGTTTTTCTTTCAATGAATTTATGTTAGTGAAAAGTTGGATTTTTCTCAATTTTTCAGAGTGACATGAAGCTGCTTCACCAAAAGATGGATGTTTTGTAACCCTTTTTACAAATTTTTACGAGGGGTGCCAATAATTGTGGAGGGCGCTGTAGATAGATTGACAAGCTAGTTAACTGGCAGAATCTCTGGGGCACACAACACTTTTTGTTAGTTCCAGACAACCTAAATCAATCAAAGTAAATCACATTAAAATACGTGACTCTGGGTTTGAAATGGCCCCCTGCCGAACCCGTTGGCTATCAAACAGAATTCATCTTGGCCTGGAGCTAATAAATATTTCCGCATTGCTCTTATTACGCCACTCTAAATTAGTGCTGCCAGACTTTCTCAGGCGGGCTGCCAAACTCCTGACACTCCTGCTACAGGGGAAAGAGGCAATGCCCTGGTAATCGTGTTCAAAAACACTGTTATGTACCTGCCTGAATGTGAAAGCAATAAAAACTTGCTTTACAAAATTATACACACATTATATTGTGATCTGGACGCTCTTATTTGACGCTCTCGTCTGACTGCTCCTGGACTGCTCCCTTGGCATCATGGGACATTGCATATGTAATGTGACTCATCTTTAATCTTTTTAAATGTTCCCTGTTATTACGCAATATAAAAAATCTAGAAGAGGGTTGTGGTGAAGCTGACCCAAGCCACATCCTAGATGTGGTGCCAGTCTATTGCAGAATGTACACACAGTATAAACTACTGGAATTTTAATGATGCCAAATCGCCTAACCGGTGAGCAGAGGAAACCCCAGCAACACTGGGAGAATGTGAGCTCCACACACACTCTGAGAGGGGTCAGCATCAAACACAGGAGGCTTGCAGGTCTTCCCAACCCAGGCCTCAGGGACCCTAAGCAGTCCATGTTTCTGCTCCCACCCAGCTCCCTACCACGTTGGGAAACACTGTGTTAGGTAACAATGCTGCCCCCTTGTGTTGTATACACATATATATGTTGTAATAAAATTAGCAGTATTTCCCCATTCTAATCAAAGGCACTGATTTTTTCCCAAAATATGACAGAAAACTTTATTAATCACTTCTTACAGTAAACTTTTAAAAATTTTACAGTACAATACACTTTTTGGCACTTACAGCTCTATCAGAAAAATTAAATCACAGGGACAGAAATGCACTGCTTCTTTTTCTGCCTCACATATAAAGCTTTATTTCAATATTTTACCTAATTTGTACAATCAACTTGTCTTAAAAACTCCATACCTCTGTACCACGGTTGTTGTTCAATCCCTGAATTACTCTAAGTCTTAAAAATATTAATCAGCTCAAGTTTCCTATGCCTCAGAGAAACACCCCAACTTTACGGCTATGTCGTGCCTTAGCTTTGAGTCGTGCACTGGGGCACGGGACACTGCTCGGGCATTAACTCCGCACAAAAACATGGCAGCAGATGCTAGTTAGAGGTTAAAGGCGTAGCACTTTGCCACCACTACATAAAGCTGTACATCATGCTGTTTTTAGAGGAGAGCTCAGTGAGGGTCACATTTATCTCGCGATCAGAGTCGGGGTTTTGCATGCCACTGTTTGATAAATTGCCGGAAATGCATCTATGAATGGAAGTAAGGGTGTACATTTGGGTATGGATGGTAGGGACACGTCTCTACCAATATTGTGGGAGTACCGTGTGTGTTAAGGGGAGTGAGGGATTTGGTCCCTACTAAGGGAGGGCTGATTTGGTCCTTACCAATGCTGAAACCAAATCTATGCGCTTGGATGGACATGAGGTGGATCAGGGGCTGGTGCTTATTTCATGCCGTGGAATTGGACAGAGCTACACTGTGGACTTCCCATCTTCAAAAACGACCAGGATACCAGAGGGGAGCTTTTACATTCTTGAAAAGTGACCAGCCACTGCAAGTGTCCTACATGGAAACTGCTGAATTGTTATTCAACTGGGCACTATACAACAAGTAGTCAATTACCACAACAAGCAATATTCAAATATTCCATTCTCTTCTGTTGGTTTTATGTGGATTCCTCCTGTAAGTGGTGTCTATTATGTTGCCAACAATGGACAGACAGAATGTTATATATGAATAACTAAAATTAATTTTCGTTTCAGTCAGAGCTCATTAGTTGTGCCTTATGGAAAACACTGTGCAAAACCAACAAAAACTCTAAATTCAGTTTGAATGTTTATACTATCTTTGCCGGTTATTTGATGAAATTTCCATCCATATTTCTGCTCAGGAGAAGCTACCATCATGCAAACTGTCATAAATTTAGAAGACTGGTGATATTTCAGCAACTCAGATTTTTCCACAAACGTTATTTTGCCAGCATCTTCTGCTCAAAATTACATCATACTTTTTGCCCTGACAGAGACTCATTTTAGAAAAATGTCTAGTGAATGTTTTGTATTATCACTCTCTGCTGTAAGCGCAAAGGGACCTGAATCTGCCACTGCAATGTCCAAGGTCACCACTAGGGTGTAACAGCGTCTTAGGAGTTTTTTGAACGTCATCAGAGTACCAAGCACCCAGTGGCTCAATAAATGCATTTTTTTCCCCAAAAATCCAGATGGAACCTGATAAAAGATCTTCACAGACATACAAAAGAAATAAAGTGCTTGAAAGGCTGCAGAATTTTCTGGACATATTGAGTAGGTACATTTTGAGCCATCGCCAGTAGAAGTCAAAGGCTCAGCGAGGAGACAGGTGAGCACTGCAGACGGCTTGTCATCACTGCCGCCATGGCATCCCGTCAGTAATTGTTCCTGGATAAGGGCGTGTCCTCCATCATGTCGTCCTGCACGGAAATGAGACCAAGCAGGAAGGCCGAAGTGAGACGGTATGTAATTTATAAAAATAAACCTTCTTTAGAGTGTGTGGCTCAGCTGGTTACGCCTCTCAGGTCGCCAGTTCAAGCCTTTTCAGACCAGTTAGCAAGACCCCTGATCCTCCAGTTTGCTCCAGGGGTGCCTGACTGTACCTCCTCTGTACATGCAGTATGTGTTGCTGAGTCTCAAAGGAGGCCTTCATTTCCACATTTATCACACCTCAAGCCAAATCATACCAAATGACACATAAAACCTAAAATAACTCTAACATATAGTAAAGGCAGGAATATGATAACTAGAAGCTATATAAAGTAATAATAATGTACATTTACAGTGTGGCTTCACCTGCCAGAACGAGTACAATCATACGTCAGTTAATGACAGGAATACATTCAGAGAAAGACGTCGTTAGGCAGCGCAGTAGGTTTGTTTACACCAGTATCACCACAACCATGTAAGTAATGCATTGTAGTACGATGTCACCGGGTGATGGGAATTTTTCAGCCCCATTATTAATCTTATAGGACCACATTCATATATGTGGTCCATCATTGACCGAAGCATCGTTACGCAGCGTATATCTAACCAGCTTGCTGATTAAAAGATGCTAAATGCTATTTTTGATTTTCACCTTGTTTTGTTAAGGCAAAATTCCTCTTTGGATTTCTCTTGGTTAGAGAAAACAGGCTTTCGTAAAAGCAAAGTAGCATGAAGGGAATGTTCATAAAGCAGGGATACCTGTAAGTGTCTGGGTTAATAATCTAGATAGCAGGCAAAGCATAAACCAACCCTAACCCAAACTAGCTCAGCATGGGTCTCACCATCGGCACATCCTGCAGTCGATGAAACTCCAGGCGTCCGTTGTTCCGGAACTTGAGGAAGAGGAAGAGGGAAGCGATGGCGCCAATCACGATGAACATAGACAGCAGACCAGCTAAGAGCGGGTCCAGGGGTGGCCTGGAGCGGACCAGGACCGGCACTGCATCCATGACAATGACACAAAAAGTCAGTGACAGGACAAAGAGGGACTCATATTTTCTCAGAAACTCCTACTAAAGCACCCTGCATTAAGCACTCCACCCAAAGATTCAACAACACATCACTAATTTTTTGTAGGCCACAGTTAGGCTAGAGGTCCATGCCCTTAAGCAACACGCATCCCGCTAGAGTAAGCATGAAGCGAGACTTTAGCCGATTAGAGAGCATTTTAGCTGAAGGTTACTCCACTGGGCGAGTGTGACCCCCCGCAGACAGACTGCAGACGCTGCACAGGAGATACAGGCCGCGTGACCTGAAAGAGCTCACTCAGGAACAAAGGCCTTTTGTACATTGTGTTCTCTGCCGTCTGCGTCAGGAGCTTATTTATGTATCTCTCTGCAGAGACGTGTTTTGATGGAGATGGGAAGGCAGTGTTCTGTGCTTTAGATGCGGTTACCACAGTTTGCACCTTACATTTATAAAAGCGTGATAATATTCATTGTGCAATGTTAGCGTGTCTGGGGGAGGGGGGCAGCCAGATGTCCTCGGACCCCTTTTAACCTATCACCTTTTAGCCTTACTAGGTAATTTTGGTACCTCTCTTTCAGTGTCTTCTGACATTTTCCCTCTTTCCATTTTTCCTGTGTCATGAACCACTTTGTATACATGAGCTAATAATGATAAGCCACACAGTCTGATCAAGTGCCACGGGACAACTGTGTTGTGAAGCTGCTATACAGTATAAGAAAAGTTGCACTGAATTGAATCCTGGGAGACTTCAGGGTGGCTGGCACAGGGACTCCAGGTAACTGTGGCCTAAATGGTGACCATGTTATATAATAAACAGTGTGAGTACTCACCGTCGTCCCCTACGTTGAGCTCAGATGGGTCTTCCACATGCAACCAGGCTGGAGCAGATGTAGAGGCCAGTGGGTGGGGATATGTAGGATCCAGGGTGAACTGGGTGTTCACGTTGGGGGGGTAAGGTGCTGAAGCAGTGGTACCATGAGTGGAATTCTGGGAAATGGGTATGAGCGTGCTGAGAGTGACCGAAGTGGGGCGGGTACCCTCTTTATGGATGACACCGTTTGCCGGGTTGGACGACCTGCTTATGTTGGAGGTATCTGGAAGAGAACATTTGACCTTAATGATACCCATCCATCCATTTTTACCTGGAACATATGACGCAAGGCAGGGGACACCCTGGGCAGGATGCCAGTCCATCACAGGGCACAGGGCACAGGGCAGGGACACCCTGGACGGGATGCCAGTCCATCACAGGGCACAAGGCAGGGGACACCCTGGACGGGATGCCAGTCCATCACAGGGCACAGGGCAGGGGACACCCTGGGCAGGATTCCAGTCTATCACAGGGCACAGGGCAGGGGACACCCTGGGCAGGATGCCAGTCCATCACAGGGCACAGGGCACAGGGCAGGGGACACCCTGGACAGGATGCCAGTCCATCACAGGGCACAGGGCAGGGGACACCCTGGGCAGGATGCCAGTCCATCACAGGGCACAATGCACATAGAACCACACACTTTGAGCAATTTAGATCCACATAAAATGTGCCTCACTCTTATTGGGGGCAGTTATGTTTGTCTGCATTGTGAAATTTGCCCCCTGGAGGAGTTGGACCCACTTGAGAGCACGACCCGTACACTTTTTGCCAAGAAGTGAAATTTTAGATGGAATCATCCCGTAACAGGAACAAAACTCAGAAACCAGGAACAGCTGAAAACAGAGATGTTTTGGGGCGGGGTGTCTTCTCACTGAAATCTCACCTCATAAAAGCACTGATTCTATTTCCAGAAGCACACAGGGTGCTATGCAGATAAGACTATTGGGATTGTAGGAACATTTTGGGCAGTGAAATATAGGGGAGAGGTTGTAATGAATGGCTTAGTTTTGAGATATTGAAGGACTCATTGTGATTATATTACAGCAGTGGAATCATTGTCTTATCGCAGTTGTCCTTGAATTAGCTCAGCATCTCAAAATACAGTGGATTCTATATTTTATAGAAATAAGACTAGACTTGTGTGACTGTGCCCTGCGATGGGTTGCTGCTCCATCCTGGTTTGTTCCCTGCCCTGTGCCTGTAACCTCCAGGATAGGCTACGGACCCCCCGCGACCCTGAATAGGACAAGCAGTTATGGAAAATGGATAGATTGATGGAAAACTAGGCTCTACAATAGCAGTGACACAAAATGACGCATATCAGAATTTAGATTCTTTCTCTCTCAGAGCACAACATTTTCTACATTTTACAGAAATACAACAATCAGGACTGTTATACAAATAAATCAAAATGTTTACATTTTTGTCCCTGCATTTTCCTTCACGTTTGGTAACAGCCAAGCAGAGGTTGCCCCTGATTCTGGGGGGGGGGGGCTGAACATCATCACCTCTGTCTGGTGTGTGTGCTGTCTGCCAGATGTTTCATCTCACCCTGCTACACTGAGCGAAGCGACACGCCCGCAGGAGAACCGGTACCCGTTTAATTGCACCAACACTCAGTAAGCAGGAGACTGTAAACTACCTGAGAGCAGTGGGTGGGAGGACAGACCTTACAGTCTGGGCCAACACCCCTAACACCTGCCAAACTGTAGAGTTATTGTGCTTTACAGACCTTGACACCCCTATCTTAGACTACAGCAGGACTGGCCTGGCCATCTGGAATTCTGGGCATTTTCCCAGTGGGCCAATGGGTATGTGGGCCAGTAAAAATTATCGTGGGACGCCCCCCCCCCCATCCTCTGCCCCCCCCCCAAAATCAAGGGCCGATTTTTAATCCCAGTCCAGCCCTGGAATAAAGCAGATGATTTCTGCTTTGAAGGCACAAATACAGAACTGCGTAGCTTCCCTTTTATCCAAACAACTATTTTATCCATTGGATATGTTACAGAAGCTTTTCATCTTAACGGTACAACAGCTGGATTTCCGGGGATTTAAGCCTTTCCTTATTATTAGCCACTATGTCACTGACTGCAGAGCTTAGAAGTAGACACTGTAATGAATCAGCGATGAGGACTGTCCCTGGGTGCCCTCTGGGTGTCTTAGCTGTTAGGATGCGTGGTTTAATGACCGGTGTATTATGGGCACTGATGGGATCATGGCTGCCATTTCCACTGTTACCTTGAGAAACATTCATCTCTGGCTGCAGTGTGGCCGTCCCACCCAGGCCCGCAGGCTCATGGGTAATGAGAGAGGGCACCGTGGTCATACTGCTGACCCCCACAGCGATGCTTTCCATGGCAGCCGGGCTGCTGGAGTGCGTGGAAGCACTGGTGAAGGAGTCAGATGAGTTCTGTTTGTGAGGGCCCGGTTGTGGTTCTGTGCTCCCTCGTACCGGGAAAGTTGAGGGTGGGAGGGTGGGAGTGGACCCTGCTTCTGTCTGGTGGAAGATAGGGCTGGTAGTTTCTGACATGTCAGTGCAGTGACCTAAAAGGGGAAGCACAGCCATTAGCCAACATTATTCAAATAAAACTGACTTCTGACTTTACCGCTCTGGAGCTGATCAGTCATTTGTCAAGGAAGCTCATTGGTTGCTTTGCCCTAACTTCTATGATGTAGCGTCTCTTCATTGGATCATATTTCAACAAAAGTTAACCAATTTCATATGCTGCCATCATACGAGGGGGTTGGCCGGCTGGGCGTAAGGTGACCAGGGCTGTTTCTCATCATTCTCATCATGTGACTGTACACTTTCTCACCCCAGCACACATGAAACCCAAACCCAAATTCACCTTTTATTTATTTTTCCCCTCTTCATAACAAAAAGACTCTTTTTACTTTCCAGGTTCCCATTTGGCCAGCAGGTGTCACTGATCATCCAGTGTTACCCCTCCTTGTCTTATAGCCCCTCAGCCCTAGTGGCTTCTCCCTGAACTGCTGCTTAGGTCAGTGGGTTGACTGACTTAGAGACCCTCTGCTCATGGATTTGAAGGTTTCCTAGTTTCAGTGTTTGTTTGTGCTTGTCAATTGTTCCACCTGTTACTTGTTGCCGTGCTCCTTTAGTGATTGGTTAATTTGATCATGATTTACACCTGTCATGTGTTTGCCCTTGTTTTCTTTGTGTATTTAAGTGCCTGCCCTCACTCCATTCGTTAGTCTGTCATTATGTTTAGTTACTGTGTGTTTTTCCGCTTAGTCCTGTTCCCCAGTGTATTTGTATTGTGGTTTCTTTTGTTAAGTTATTATTTCTCCCATTTTGTTCTGACCCCCTGCAGTCCCTTTAATTTTGTGCCTTCCCCAGTGTTGTTAGTTCCCTTAATAAACCCCCATGTTCTCTTCGCAATCAGTGGATTGTTACCTTTTTCCTGCCTGCACCACGTCATGCTGTAACAGGTTCCCTCTCTGCCTCTTTTGGTTTGATACCTGTAAACCACAGAAGGGGAATCTCTGGGGCTAATTATCCCATAGATTTGGTCCCCATCCCTGTGTCAGATGTTTCTCTTCCCCTTGCAGATCAAAGTGATTCTTACAAGTAAAGAACCAATAAAGTTAATATGAAAATTGTAACATCAATCAATATTCTGAGGCTCCCACCTCATTCCCCAAATGCTTCCTGTGACTGGCTGCAGGATGCCTATGATCCTTCCGAATATGAAGTCCATTTAAATTGTGGTACCTTAAATCCACCAAGTTACCCCAATAAGCCATTAACCCTGCTTCATAATACAGGCCGATCAGATTAGATTGGATTAGATTAGATTAACAGGGCTGTGGACGAAAATTACTCCTTTGGTCCTGTGTAAACCATCCAAAATGCATGTGAAGTGATGACGCTACATTGCCCTGGCTATGTGACTGCGTGTGCCGGAGAGCCCCGATTACCAGAACTAGATTCACAGCAACAGCCTGGATGCGTGAGCAGTGGACGCTGACATGCCACAGCGTGGCCGATGGCTATATCTCAGAAACCTACGCCTGCCAAAGTAAATACTGTTAAAAGTGCATTAGTCACTTCACAAATCGAGTTGCACCTCTCAAATGCAAGGGAGACAGGCAGATCATCCCTGCCAGGATAGTTTGTGGGAATAATTTAAATGAGAGCCCAAGCGGGAGATCTGCTGCCAGCCTTTCCTGCCGTCTTTCGCTCTGATGGCTCTGGAAAAGCCACGCAAAGCAAATCCCACACATTTCAGCTGGGTAGTGAAATACCGGAATCCTATGAACACTTTCACTGTACCCACTTTTTCAGTAAGAGTTCTTTCTGTGGTGGGTGCAGGCAGAAGTGCTGGGTCTTGTGACGGGTGCTACCCACTAGACTCGGCAGAAACTGGGGCGGCCGGCACAGCACCCGACACTTGACCCTCACATATTGAGGAGGCCGGCACAAACAGGCAGCCAGCACTAGACCCGGCAAAAAGTGAGGTCGCCGGCACAGCACCTAGTACCAACTGAGGTGGTCAACACGGCACCCGGCTCTCAACCTAACATAAATTGAGGTGGCTGGTGCAGCACCTGTCACTTGACCTGACACAATCTGTGGCAGCCGTCACGGCACCCGGCACAAACTGAGGCAGCCAGCATTTGACCCCATCACAAGATCAGCTTCAGTTAGCGCCACCCAGCACAGCACCCAACACAAACTGAAGCGGCTGGATCGACCATTCAAAAAAGGGGACTTACTGGGGAGTTATACTGTATTTGTCAACTCTGGGGTATTGTCAGACAAGTATTTTTTCCACACATTCGAAACACAGATAGCTAGCAAGGGTAAATACAGTGTACAGTACCTAGGCTATGCTTAAAGTAGGCTAAAGTGCATGGGTGATTATGTACATCAGTAATTGTATCTTAATGAAATATAATATCTGATTTTAAATTGAAAATTAAACTTGGGTTATGAGAATTATATAATTTATAAATGATTGTCAGGTTTAGGGTTGTGCGATTTTACAATATTATTAAACGATTAAATGTTTCCATGATCTGCCTTTACGGAGAGATTGTTAGTTTCACGCTACAATGCACATTCTATTAGTTGCAGTTCTATGGCTCATACTCACATCTAAAGTTGATTTGTTAGCCAAATCTGTTTTGACACACCAATAAACTTCTAATAGCAAACAGTAGGTAGTGCTTTGAATTTCTTCCTCTCTCCCTTCGTCCCCTCATCCCAACATGCAACACATTTCCTATTTGGCAATGTAGGGCCATGGCTGACATGGAGGAGCTGGTACATAAAAATAATTCAACATTGGTAATATAGAACTTTTTTGTATCTTCCAAAAATGACATGGCACAAACAACAGTTACCTTATAGTGCTATATCTACAGTTATGTGAAAAAATTAGGACACCCATTAAATATTTAGTACTTGATTAAGAAATATCAACATATCAATATTAAATCTTGTTTCAAATTATATTTGCAGACAGAGGTGATTTAATTGCATGACCGATGAAAAAACAAGAAACAGATTCACTTGTTTCACAAAAGAAATTAACTAAGATGCCAATGCCTACTGAGGAAAAGTTAGGACACCCTGTGCCCTAATAGCTAGTATTTCTCCCTTTGGCTGAAATAACTTCAATGAGACATTTCCTATAACCATCTATCAATCTCTGACATCGACTGGCAGAAAGTTTTCCCCACTCTCCAATGCAGAATTCCTTAAGCTGTGTGATGCTTGAAGGGTGTCTTGCATACACTTCCTCTTCAAATCACCCCACAGCCTCTCAATAGGATTCAGATCAGGGCTTTGACTTGACTATTCCAGAACTCTTTCTTGTAAGCCATTCCTTGGTAGATTTACTGGAATATTTTGAGTCATTGTCATTTGCATGTTCCACGCCAACTTCAGCTTCAACTTTTGGACAGACGATCTCACATTGTCCTCAAGCACCCACTGATATGATAAAGAATTCATGGTAGATTCTATGATGGTGAGCTGGCCAGGTTCTGCTGCAGCAAAGCAGCCCCAAGCCATGACATTTCCACCCCCATGCTTCAAAGCTGGCATGAGGTTCTTTTGCTCAAAATATGTCTTTGGTTTACACCAAACTGTTCTCTGTTACTATGTCCAAATAATTCAATTTCAGATTCATCTGTCCAAAGCACATTGTTCCAAATGTCCCAGACTTTATCTAGTCTTGCCCTGGTATTTTTTTGACAGCAAGGATTTCCTCCTTGCACAGCTCCCATGTAAACCAAACTTGCACAGTCTCTTTCTGATGGTAGATGCATGTACCTTGACATCAACTGTGGCAAGATCTTCCTGTATGACCTGTGATTACATTTTAGGATTTTTGGAGACTTGTTTCAGCATCTTGCGATCTGCTCTTGGGCTGAACTTGCTAGGACAGCCTGCCCTGGCCATACTGGCAGTTGTTTTAAATGTTCTCCACTTTGTAAATTATTCTCCAGACAGTGGAATGGCTGATTCCAAACTGTCTTGATCTTTTTATATCCTTCTCAGACTCATATGCATCTACATGTTTCTTTCTGAAGGCCTCAGACAGCTCTTTGGATCTCACCATGGTGATCCCACTCATTTCAACAATCAAAAGCAAACCAAACTAAATGTTTGTGGATTAAATAAGACAGACTCCACCAAAAAGCTCTGTAATAATGTTCTAATCATTTTCACCTGATGTGGTGCCCCTGAATCTAACTCTAGGCATTTTAAATAATAATGGATGTGAGGGTGTCCTAACTTTTCCTAAGTGGAAATTGGCATCATAGTTAATTTCTTCTGTTAAATAAGTGAATTTGTTTCTTTTTGTTTTGCATAGGTGATACAGTTACATCACCTTTGTCTACACATATGACTTTAAAGAAGATTTAATAGTGATATGTTGATATTTCTTAATAAAAAACTAAACATTTAATGGGGTGTCCTAATTTTTTCACATGACTGTATATCTTTAATAGGGGAATTGGTTTGGTTGTATTATTCAGTAACTTGTAAAATAGTCTTAAAAATCAATATGAAACAAAACCATGATAAGATTGTGGATCGTGATCCTGCCTGAAAAATCGTTATATGATATTTTTGCCATATCGCCCCCCCACATTGGATTTGTTGTTTTATGTAAAGTTATCGCACTCAATATCTAATTTTTTCATTTTTTCATTTTTCTTTTTTTGTTATGTATGAAATTGTTGGTTTCCCATCTTTTACACAGCTAGACTGTGTGTGGCATATTTTTTGATGAATAATTTCCTGTATGTATGCTTAAGTCTTTTTGATATTTAGTCCTTTGTGCATGAAATACATGCTGTATTTTAAAAACCAGAGAATGCATGTAGTTATTAAAACTGTATACAGTAAGCCTGCTATGTAGGATTATGTAATTACTCGTGCTTTATTAGAATCAGATAAAATGAATGTCAGACCTAGTCACAGAGCTAAACCACCAGTTTGAGACCAGTCTCAGTGTATCTATGGACATTCCAGAGCTAAAGCTGAAAGTTGGTCCTTTTAAGATCAGTTCCCAAAGCAGTTTTCTTTTGCTGTATTGGACAAAACAGGATGTTACATACTCCAAATGTACAAAAACACTCTCTGCTCTCTGTTCCAAAACTCATGGAGAAAAAAAAACAACTTACAGTACGAAAAAATAAATGTATAAAGATATGCTGGAAATAAACATTTTGAAGAGGGCAAAGTATACACGGATGAAACGACAGAGTGTTTGTACAGCACACAAAGACTTCACCAACGCAATACAATAATGTTCTTGTTCCCACTGAATGAACAAGCTACTGACCACCCCTTTGGGTATTAAGAGACAGCAGGAGCCTGAGAGCGACTGCCGCGGAGCCTACCACATCTGTCTGCGGAGGGGGGGTGAGAAATATCAATTATCATCACCAGCATCACCAGCATCGTTAATAGGCAGTTAATGTGAAATATTTATTTATTCACGGTTACCTACAAGGAAGAATATTTGCTGCTGAGGTGTGTTTGGTTGAACTTTGTCCAGATGCATTATGAATCCATTAAATATCCCCCCTTCGGGTGACGGTCATGTAAATCTAATTAATAAGGAGAGGCTAGGGGTGGAAATTTTCCCAAAGGTTGTTTCACTGTGGAAAAAAGACAGGACTCAAATTAGGCCTAAGAACCAACTAATGGCTATGCGGTTCAAATTTGCAGCTGATGGGCGTATGGTGTTTGAAAGCAGTTATTCAATATGGCGATGCCAGTGGAAAAAGTATGCAGTATTAGTTGGGTATATAAATATAGAAAGGAATATGAATAGAAGCGTCAGGTCATTTAAAACCTTGTTGCATTCTTATTATTTAAGGTCGCAGGCAAAAGCAAGATGATGCATTTGTCGACTGGTTTCATGGGTCTTCTGAATTAACATTAAAGCACCATCTACACAAAAAGGTAGAGCATCCATCCCTACCCAGGGAATTAAACTAAGATCCACGCAGGTCCAGTGCTGGTGGTACTGGTAGTATGTACTGTTCTTGGGGGTGGGGGGTCTAGCTGGCAAATTTGTCGCGCGGGCGGGGGATTAGCGTTGCGGCGGTAAAGTTTCACGATTTTCTTGTCGCCATGTTCTACGTAGGCCTACGCTGAACAGCGGAATGATTCGCGGATGTCATGAAGCCAAACAAAAAATGCTCTTCGGCCGGATAAACGACTCTGGGTCTGCATTAGAACCGGGGTCGGTCAGCTGGTGACCACTGATTTAGACTAGGGGTCACCAACATGGTGCCCCCAAGGACCACATGAGTCGCCCACCAGACCTGTTCTAAAAACAGCACAATTAGCTCACCAGTGAGCAGCGTCCAAAATGTAATTTTATCCTGTCGCTATTCTTCTTTAATCACATTTGCATTTATATAGATTTGAAAATGACAATATCTAAAAAAAAAGCATTTAAAACATGTTTATTATAAAATGATTTAAGAAGAGTGTATCAAAGTGGTAGCCCTTCGTATGGCTCAGTACCCGTGAAGTAGCTCTCAGTTTCAAAACGGTTGGTGGCCCTGATCTAGACTAATAATCCTTAACTCATAAACTGCTGAACCCGAGAATTATGGCACGTTTAATGTCACGTAGGTATGTTTTGGTTTTCATGGGTCAGGAGGAGATAATGAAAAATATTTAAGCATCATCTTGCAGCCGTGAGGACTTACCATGAAACCTTAAAATTTACCATAGCCTATTGATGACACGTATTTAGAAGTGATGATGTAATGAAGTGCCACGGGGACTAACCTAACTAAATTTCCTTCTGTAGTTACTTGTTTTCCGATTGCATTACTATTTCCAAGCTTGAACCATAAGAATCAATTTGTTCGGCAATACTTGTTAGTTTTATACAGATGTTGACTGACGCGTTAATAATGTGTCTATTGCAACTGTCTGCGCTCTATACCCATTTCTTCTAACGTTTCGCACAAACGTAGGTTACCCTTCAGTCGTTTTGCAACTTCATTAATAATTTTTATGATTTTGTCAGTGGACTTGGTGTACTGTCAACTATAGGTTTATATTGGTGCCTGCAGTACTGATGCTACTTGGAGATCGTTGATGTTGGAAAAATTAATTATTATGTATTTCTCAGAATTCAAAGAATGCTTTTCTTTGAGAGAAGTCAGTAATACAAAAGTCTGATTTATGCAACACCAATTAACAGTTCTTTGAAATCTTCCTTGACTTCGACAGCTTTCATTCTAGTCAAATATTACCGTTTGAATAATCATCAACAGGTAAAACAATTTTTATAATATCAATTAGCGAGAGGGCATCTGAACCTAAAGAATGAAATCAACATAAAGACAAACCGCGGAAAATTTAGCGTAATTTGACAAATTATGATTTCTAAAAAAAAAAAAAATTAGTGAACCGCTCCCCTTACTTACACATTGTATGACACGGCCCCAAACAGAACATCAATTGAAAATAAAAGTTGTTTGCTATCATATTTAAAGTTATCGCACTAAATATTTGGAAGTGGAATTTGAAATATTCGGTTTGCTGTAATACATGTAATCATATGGTTACTTCATTGAATATAAATCCAACAAGACATTTTGTACCCTATTCCTCCTTTGGTTTGTATAGTAATATAAGACGTCACCGTGCACGCCCTGTAACCCTTCTCAGTTTCCTCCAAAAACATAATAAGGTATATTTCAGGTCAGCTGAGGTTTCTGTAATCAATGCTAACAACACTACACCTCCTAATGATACAGCATAGATAAGCGATCTTACCTCCAAAACTAGAAGCGCGGATCAGTATCACTAGCGCATAAAGCACTATATTAATTTTAACTTCCATAGCTTTCTCATCAAAAGTAATGACCGACGCTCGTTGCCGTCTTGTCTTTTTTCGCGTTTTCCCTTCCTTGCTCTTGATCCTGCAGTTACGTTAGTTGTCGGCGGTCCTCGGAGCTATAAATAACTCCAAGGGGGTCGAGATTTACAGAAACAGGGAGGGAGGAGGTTTTGCCTAGTGACGTCCTGTTGAGGTAATGCGCCCGGATAAAACAGAATACAAAGCGCCACGTGTTTCATTTGTGCATGTGGGCTTATTGATCATCAAAAACTCGACCACCCAAAGAAAGACCCATACCGGTAGCCAGGAATTACGTTTCTTTTTTAATTATGGGAAAGGGGTGGATGTCATTCAGGACAAACGGGACTGAACCCTAGCTGTCTGACACTGATAGACAAAAGAAACATTAAGTAAAACCAGCTATTTAAAAATCATTTTTATATATCGTCCAAATGTCTTTACGCTAGGTAAGCCTAACGTTTTCAGTAATATCACAATAGCGCAGATTCATTTTTAAATGTATATGTTCACGTTTACATGCTTTGTATTTAATTTCAAAATGTTGAGCGCTTGTTATTGTCATTTTGACTGTCTCTCCCGGGAGATTCTCTCGCATCTGTTGTAAAGGGTACCAGATGGACTGTAACGTGTCTCTTTTGTATTAGCCAACGTAAGCAGAGCAATCGACGCAACTTTGCAGTATAATAATAATAATAATAATAATAATAATAATAATAATAAATAGTGTTATTAAATAAGCGGTCTATTTGTTGTCTTTTGCCGCTGAACCCACAAGGAGTCGCTATAACGCTTAAAGACTGATGGGAACATCATATACCACACTGCAGCGCGGCAGACCTCCTATTTGCGTCCCACATAGCACGCCTTCTTAAAAATGCACCTATGCTTGTGAAAAAAGTATCTTGTTAAATTTACAATGAGATACACTTCCTTATGATAGAGTCCATAATACTGTAAATAGTATTGATCAACATGAAACCAGAAAACTGAATGAAAATAGAGCGTTGTACTAGAATAAAGTGTTTTATGTCTCCTGTTACACTCACGACCTGTTGCCTAATCAAAAGAAGGAAGTTTTAATTGATTAAACTCGTCTTTTGTTAAAAGCAGATGTAACGATTTCAGTAAAGGACCCCTGCAGAGAAGGACTGCCTACCATGGTCGAGTCCCGGAGCGCAGCTGGACCGTCAAAGTATCGGCTGGGGAACATCAATTTTAAGAGCGTGCAACACTCAATGTTGGTGGCATTTCAACCAGTGGTTTTAATAGAAAAATAGTACCAGTCATGTTCTTTAACGTACCCGTACGTCGTCATGCAATCCGCAACGGTGCATAACATTTTATTTTTCATATGTTATCAACAATTAGGCTGTATCGGAATGGTTCGGCGGTCATCGGATAAGCGTAATAGATGCGTGTGTACAAGGCTGCACTGATATTTAGGGGGGAGAGGGTGCTTCCACTAAACAGAAGAGTTACCTACGACCCTCGTGTGTAGTAATCCAATATATTTTTTTCTTTTTTGTTGATAAGTGGCAAACCAGAATTTGTAAGCACGTCTCACTAAACGTTCAGTGCATGATGTCTGCAATTTTAAAGGGATAAGCCTTTACTTCTACTTGGCATATCACGACATTTAGGTGCAGTAAGTACTGTATAAGTGGTACGACTGTCCATCCCAAAAAACTTTTCCGAGCATGGAGACCACGGACAGGACAGCGGAGACGCCGGACCCGCTGGATTTCAGCGTGGAGAACGTGGAGAAGGTAAGATCCCGTCCATATGGGTATTGGTTTGACACCAGGACTAATACAGATTTATCGACAAACTGCTGTTAGGGGTCATTTTGCACCGACTGTCATATGTACGTAAGCTATGCAACTCGGAACTGTTAGGTCATTTATTTATTTATTTAGACCAGTCAGCTTAAATAAATAACAATTAAAGACATTTAAAAACTGGATTAGAATTTTAAAAATAGAAAACTGAAACTTTTTTTTATCGAAGAAGTAGACAAGTTTCTAACTTTGTACTTTTAAGAAAACAAATAAACGCGCTTCAAATCACTGCAGACGATTAACTAGAAAATATTACATGAAATCACTCGACTGAAATTTTGTCACGGGTTTGTTACTGTTAAATGAAATAGCCCTTACATTATCCTAGTACAATTTAATTTTTTCGTTGATTATTGTGTACATTTATTGTTGCAATGGGGAAAAGTTGGCATTTAGTTGTTTTATTTCAGGTTAATTTGCCAACCTAGCATTTTCCTGTGTTTTTTGCCAGATCTTGACCTCTCGAAATTATTTTACTTTTTTTCTTTTTTATAGATAAAATTCAACGACACAGCTTGTCTGCCGTAGAGAGAAGTAGCATTTAGTCCATTCGGATGGAGTGGGAGAGAACTATAACAGAATGCTGTGTGTGTGTGTGTGTGTGTGTGTGTAACATAACATTTTACGATTCACATTCAATAGTGCAAATCAGAGGAAGTTTGTGTTCCTAATGCAAAATGCCGTATTTAGTACATTTCTGTAGCGAAGGAGTCGAGTTTACTCCAGTTGTAGATCTGGTCTTCATTTCGCAATGGTCATGTTTTGACTGTATTATTTATGCGCGTACTGTAGTCACAGTGCTCTCCAAGCTGCTCTTTGGCACCGACCCTGTCAGGTATCGTTTTCACGACTCCCTTATCGTCTGGATGCCGGTGATCGTTAGCCTTTGGTGATGCTTTTCTTTGGCACCTGGGTGTTAAGACACCAGTGAGGGTCACCTTTCCGTGTAGTAATTCAGAGACGCCAGTTTAATTTAAGTAGAGATAAGGTGCGCTTTCCCTAGCCCCTAGGATTTCCAGATATATTTTTGGTTATTTTAAATAACACGTGGCTCTATCATCACCACTACAGTGTCACACATTCAGGGTTGTGGGTTCGCGCGGGTGGCACGTTTTCCCTGCGTTTGCACGGGCTCCCCCACGAGGCACTACAGCTTCCATCCATCATCCAGCAACATGGTTTGAGGTGAATCTGTGTCTCTAAATTGCTCCTAATGTGTGATAATCTGTCTGAGTTTGTGCCCTGCCATGAACTGGCACCCCGTTCCCTTCGGTGTCGCCCATCTTGTGCCCTGTGTTACCAGCAATCAGTGCCACTCTGTCCTGGATAAGAGGTGATGGCAGATGAATGGATGAAATCAAACTGGATGAGAAAAAATATTCAGGCTGAGTGGATATTCCTGTTGCCTGTCCTCACAGTGCATTAGAGGTGGGGAGTTTGGGTCAGGGGCGAGGGAGCATGCCACACTGCAGCTCTGGTGGCACATAGTGCTCGCCTCAGTGTTACGACACCTGGAGGCTTTTAAAGATGCAGGCCCACCTGGGTGTGACAGAGAGGCAAAGGAACTGCTGACAAGAAAAGGGTGGAGAGAAGATAAAGCCAGTAGGAGATTAAAAATATATTGTGATATATTTTACATTACAAAAACATGTTTGTGTTATCAAAATCTAACATTGCTTTTTTTCGTTTATAAGAAATATACAGTGGTACCTCGGTTCTCGAACTTAATCCGTTCCGGACTCCGGATCGAATCCTAAAAAGTTCGAGTTCTGATCGAATTTTTCCCATAAGAAATAATGGAAAACCAATTAATTGGTTCCCAGCCCCCCAAAAATACACCTAAATATGTTTTTTTTTTTAAGCATTTAAACACAAAATGAACAGTATAAAACAAGAAGAGCATTTTTGATTTCCAAACCGATAAAGATCTTATCCCAACATTACCCCTGTCCTGCCCCGATTGTTCGCTCCTTCCGTGTGCCACGCCCCCTCGTTAACCTCGTGTGGGATCCCCATGTGATCATCTGTTTCTGGTTGTTGTCATTAGTCCGCTGTATTAAGTCCGTGTTTCAGTTTGTTTCCCCAGTCCGGTCATTGGGTGCGTTCGACTTGCTTACAGCGCTGGCTTAAAGCAACGCATTCTGATCCTGACGCAATGCATTACAGTTAGATGCATTGCGACCTCTCACCCGGCTGCACAAACTGGAACCGCCTGAAATTCTAGAAATTCTAGTTCTAGTGAGTTCAAGAACCGAGGTACCACTGTATATATTTTTTGTTCCTGGGAAAATAATTGATTGGTTTGAGTCTGTTTGTGCCCTGGGACTCTGACTCTTCTTTGAATGATCACTTTCTTGGATGTGGATATGTGTTTTTTGATTGGCAGGATTCTTGTAAGATCATTTATTGAGCTGTGGTCCCCCCGTGTCCTAAAGCTGGTCTGTACTGTGATTCATCCTGGCCTGTGTAGTCGTAAGAAGTCTGTGAACCCTTTGGAATTACACAAATTTCAAAATTAATACTTTTGAAATGATAATATTTTATAAATGTGGTGACAGTAGTCCCAATTATAGACAGACACAATCTGTTTAAACCTATAATAACACACAGACAATTCTCTCTTCACCACTTTATCTCCTGAATATTTGTATGTTATCCCCAGAAAACCTTCATCAGTTTGACAGCTTCCAACACTTATGTGATGAGAGAGAAATATCAAAACTGATTTATACATTATTACACTTTAGAAGAAACAGCATTCAGTGTCAACGACAGCCCTAGAAAACTGGTGTAAATGATGTAGCATTAATATCCAAAACCTCCAGATTCTCTGTTAGTATAGATGGTGTCCCTGAAAACCTGCTACTGTTATCAGAAATCTTGGAGTATTATTTGATTATTCACTCAACTTTTATCTTCACATAAAATCCCTCTCCAAAACTGCATTCTTCCACCTTCATAACATTGCTCGTCTGTGCCCATTTCTGCTCAATACTGATACCCTATCTCTGGCACATGTATTCATTTCATCCCTTATTGACTACTGCGACTCCCTTTTCACTGGCCTCCCTGCAAAATCTATACAAAAGCTTCAGTATATTCAGAACTCAGCAGCTCGAGTTCTCACTCACACTAAACACTTTGCTCACATCACACCCATCCTCTCTCAGCTACACTGGTTACCGGTTCAGTCTCATATCAAATTCAAAATATTGCTTCTCCCTTATAAAGCTCTGCATAACCTCACTCCTAGCTAACTCAGTGACCTCTTGACTCCCTACTCACCCTCTAATAATAATCTCCTTGCTGTTCCACGCACTAGACTTTCCACATCGGTGGCAGGCCCTTCAGCGCCATGGCCCTCATACTATGGAACTCTCTCTGTAACTACTCTTCCTTCTTTTACTTCAAATCTAAAATAAAGACGTTTCTCTTCCATAAACATTTCTCTACTGTCTCTTCCTGATTATGGATTTTTTTTTTCTGTAAAGTGGCCTTCGGATTGTGAAAGGCGCTATATTAATGTAACCTATTATTATTATTATTACTACTACTACTATTATTAGCAGAGACAACATGTAAATAAGCCTCTTTCTGATGTTGAAGTTGCACAGTAATTTGCCTTTGAATGCTGAAGCCTCTATGGGTGGGTTTCTGTTGGCCTGCACTTTAGAGTGCTGTTCAGCTGCTTCAGCCATCGCAGGCGTTCCTAATAATATCCCCACCATGTGCTGCTGATGATCGCCGTTGGCAACCTGCAGCACGTTTTTTTCCTCTGTGCAGATTCCGGTTCCCACTACATGCGCAAGTTCCTCAGTGATTTCTCACCTTCGGCTCTATTTTGGCAGCTTTCAAATTTGGGATGGAAAAAGTACTCTGAAGTTAGTGTGGTTTTCCCATATGTGGCTGAGCCTTAATGCATTTAGGGCTGCGGGCAAGCCTCATGCAGGCTTGGTGAGCAAGACAGCGTTAACACGGGGACGAGGCTGCTCACCAGATAACTTTTGGTGAAAATTTTGGAGATCAGTGTGATGTGTTGACATAATTAATGTTAAGAAAAATTTACAGGAACATCTGGAAGCAAAATGATAAAAACCAGTTTCCTCTTTACTGCAAAGAAATAAAAATGTAATAAAGTTTAATAAAAGCCACACCCCCTTTCCCACAATGGAATTTGAGATTGTTATAGAAAAACATATTTTATTTTTTAAATTTTATTTCTCAAAGAAAACAATCAAACCGTACACTCACTGCATTAGCATTTGTATCTTTTCATACTTTCTCCACATATCCTTCACTGGTTTCTCGTTAATTTCAGTGCGCCATCTGCTGGTTGATATCGCAAATGCTGGTCAACGTCACCATTCCACTTATCCCAATGGGTAGCTTGCCGTACCTCTAAATCCCTCCTTGATGTCACTGATTGGCCCTCTCAGGCTCTCCATCAGCTGTACTATGACCCGGACATTGACAACAAGAATGTGGCGCAGAAGTGGCTCATGAAGGCCCAGGTGTCTCCACAAGCCTGGCAGTTCTGTTGGGCTCTGCTCAGCTCAGAAAAGGTGAGTTTCTGTTGGGTCAGATCGAATTTTCTGGAAGACGGCCACCATTTCCATAATTTTCAATGAAAAGCTCTCCGTCACTAACAAATTACTAATGATAATATATTTTTCTATTCCTCCACTCTGTATATACAGTGAGGGAAATAATTATTTGATCCCCTGCTGAATTAAGTTGACCCATTAATAAAGAAATGAGAAGTCTATAATTTCACTGGTAGGTTTCTTTTAACAGCAGAAGATAGATTATCAACAAAACAAACAAGAAAAAAAAATCCTGTAACAGTTACAAACCAATTTGTCATTTATCTAGGGAAATAAGTATTTGATCCCTTGGATCACATGCTTTAGTACTTGTTGGAGTAACCATCGTTTGCAAACACAGCTGTCAGATGTTTCTTGTAGTTGGTCACCACGTTTGCAAACAGCTCATCAGGAATTTTCATCCACCCGTCTTTGCAGACCTCCAAAACTTTAAGGTTTTTAGGCTGTCACTAATCAGCTTGAGTTCCCGCCATAGGTTTTCTATAGGATTAAGGTCCAGAGACTGGCAGGGGCACCCCATGAGCTTAGTGTGCCCACAATGTCCCCACAATGTAGTAATAAATCTGTGACTGTAATCATAAACTAAAAGTGTGTGTGCTCTGTTCACACATCAGTGCATGTGTGGTTCTCTGGAATTCCATCATTTAATAAGTGACATGCATGGTGTCCCCTCACATGGACCGTTGTTGGCCAGACGTGTTACTCTGTCTGTTATCCTGTCACCATAGGTCCCAGAGATCCAGCACTTTGGGGCCAGTGCCCTCCACACCAAGATCTCCTGTTACTGGGCCGACATCCCAGCCGAGCAGTATGAGAGTCTCAAAACGCAGCTATACTGCCACATCGCCCGCTTTGCTTCTGGTTCCAAGATGGTCCTCACACGCCTGTGTGTGGCCCTGGCCTCCCTCGCCCTCAACCTCATGCCTGAGACATGGCCTGCTGCCGTGTCGGCGGTGGTGCGCGCGTTCCAGCAGGATGCAGGGGAGACGGCCGGCCCGGCACTGCTGGAGATCCTCACCGTGCTCCCGGAGGAGCTCCAGACCAGCCGGCTGCCTCAGGCCCGTCGCGTCCGCGTGCGGGAAGCCCTGACTGGGGAGTGGGCCACCGTCTGTCCCCTGCTTCGCCGCGTCCTGCAGCAAGACGACTCACCCTGCCAGGCGAAGGCACGTGCACTCAAGTGCCTCTCCAGCTGGGTGACACTAGCGGTTCCGCTGAGCGAGACCCAGGGCCTTTTAGAGGACAGCTTCGCCATGCTGGCCGACCCAGAGCTCTTTGACGCTGCCGTGGAGGCCATCGTCAACACCATCTCCCAGCCAGATTCTCAGAGGTGAGCCACAGCATCAGACGACAGCAGCTGAAGGGATGCGCATCCCAGCTTGCCATTGGCTCAATGATTCACATGCAACTTTTTTGGCAGAACATGGCTTCTTACCTCACAATTTCACATTCAACACTCAGTGTTTTACTTCCTTGTTTGAGCCTTGTGGCTTCCCACCCAATGACAAAGTATTATTATTGTTGTTATTCTTACTGTTATCCATCCATCCATCCATCCATCACTGTAACTGCTTAATCCCTACTGGGGTCGCGGGGGGGGGAAGGAGCCTATCCCGGGAACAATGGGCGCAGGCAGGAACCAGCCCTGGGCAGTCACCAACACACCACAGGGTGCACACACACACAGGGCCAATTTAGACTCGCCAAGCAACCTGCCCTGCATGCTTTTGGACCATGGGAGGAAACCAGAGTCCCCAGCAGAAACCCACGTGAACACGGGGAGAGCATGCGAACTCCACACAGAAATGAGTTAGGCAGCAGGGCAAACGACTGCGCCAACATGCCGCTCTATAATAATAATAATAATAATAATAATAATAATAATTAAGTTTATTTGTATAACATTTTCCAAACCAGTCTTTATAAATATATAAAAGCACAAAACAAACACAATAATAGAAAACAAATTTAAAAACAAATTAAAAAATTAAGATTCCTTTCTATTAAAAAATGCTAAGTGATAATGCTAAGCAATAAAAGATTTTACAATAGGCAACACAAAGAACAGTAGCTGTGTGTGGGAAGTTTGTAATGCTACCCTAAAGCAAAGTGCTTAAACTGAATTACTCCAACAAAACCTTCAGCTATATAAATGCTATGATTTTAAGTTTCTGTGCACAAATCCCAGATTAACTTTTGCAGTTTATATGTCAATGTTTTATGACCAGTAAGTGGTTGCCTTAAATAGCTGAGGGAATTACCCACAATGCACCTGCAGTCTGAGATATAAACAACAAATTTGAAAGGATAGAGCCTGTGAGGTGGTAAGGAAAAGGATTTGTGTGTGTGTGGTGGAGGGGTTACAAATGGAGGATGATGGGGGGGGGGGATGACATATGGAGGATGACAAGCAGGGAACAGGTGTGAGGCACATGACAGCAGAGGGTATCACAAGGCCATGGAGAGAGGGAGATATGACCAGAGCCAAGTGGATAAAATTTTACTAGACAGACTGTTTCCATGACGACAGCACCAGGTGATGACAGTTTGTGTTAAGGTTTACGGTGGTGTGGTCTGTCATAAGGGGAATGGCCCCTGTTGAAATTTTTTGATAATTACTTGTGTTCTCATTTCTTTGCCTGCATTGCTTCTTGGCTACCTCGCAGTTGCATAAAATCAAGGTTCTAGCAAAAGCAGATATTTGATGAGCTGAGGATTGTTGCCAGGCAACTTGTATGTATTTCCCTGTGTGGGCAGGGCTTAATGCTTCCCAGGTACTATACTTTAAATGCAGGTAAATATTTTCAGCTAATTAAATGAATGATGATAACAAAGACGGCAAGACAGTCATGCCGACCAGTGAAGACAACTTTTCATGCTTCGCAAAAATCACGAGAAAAACAGTGTACCGAGGAGGGAACCATGAGGCACACCTTGAGTTTTAGAGAGAGCCAGTAGGTGTGTTACCCATGGGTGACGGCGCTCCTGTGTCTGTTGGCGTTAAATCCAGGTATGTCAGTTCACTGCTGAAGCTGGTACCCCAGGTGCTGCAGTTGCAAGGTCAGCTGAGGGAGGCAGCAGAGAGTGGGGACATGGAGACCTCCCATGGAATCTGCCGCATCGCTGTGGCCCTTGCGGAGAACCACTCCAGGTGAAAAGTAACAAGCTGTGGGCTTGCCATGCATCTAGAAAGCAGTGTGTGTCACAGAGCAGGCAAATGTATAACACCATTATATGAGCTCTCTGATAATGGAACTATGGTATCGGAGGTATGCTGAGATCAGATGACTAAATAAGTAGATCTTAAATTTGTACTGATGCAAATGTCCTTCTGTCCTGGACTTTGTGGCATTATTATGAATATAAACCAGGGAATAATGGATTTAGTACCCTGGTTCTGAAAGCTTATGTTATGGGCAGTTTAATGACTTCAGGACTGAAAAAGAGCTAGAATCATTTAAATAGCAAAATAACTATTTCAGTTAATCTGCATACATCAAAAGGCACCTGTACTTGGATGGGCAGAACTGTTTTTGCTGTAAATCTCTGCACGCTTTGTAGGGTTCTTCTGGATCAGGTAGATAACTGGCAGGGGTTCCTGGCCCTGGTGAACATGGTCATGTTCTGCACTGGCATTGCTGGGCACTACCCTGTGAATGAGACCACCAGCTCCCTGACGCTAACCTTCTGGTACACCCTACAGGTAGGCTACCCAGGGGTCGTCTGGCCTTGCCGGTCCGGGTGAGGCTGAGCAGCCAGTTAGCATCTGCTATGGATGTGCTGACATGGACAAATGTCTCAAATAACCCTCTTAGAACAGCATGACCAAAGCAGTTTGTTTATATTTGGTTAGTCAATATAAACCTGTTTCCAAGCTCACAAAACATCAGTAGGTTCCAGGGAGGAGCCCTACTCCTTCAGTGTTTAATAGATCTGTTATTGATGTAATATTTACAAGCTCATCACGACAGGAAGAAACAGAATTAGGAAAAGAGACCTGAAGCTGTATTTACCTTTAGTATTTAAATGGAAAGGTGATAAGTACAGGTCTCTATATGCATGTGCACATGCATATCTGTGTTGCAGCCTGGCTAACATTGCATGTATAAAAATAGACTAACCTTTGCTGAAGGAATAAAAGGCCAGTCTGCCAGTCACTCATCACATTCAAAATCACATTCTCGTTCCCCAGGATGCCCATGGCATCTGTTAACATGTCATAGCATTCATGTTTCTCCTTACAGACTGCCTTAGCACGAGCCTGTTAGCAAGTCTTAGCATTTGTGGTTCTCCTTACAAAGTGTCCTAGTATATGCCTGTTAACATGTCATAGCATTCATGTTTCTCCTTACAGACTGCGCTAGCAGTGTGGCTGTTAGCGTGTCTTAGCATTCATGTTTCTCCTTACAGAGTGTGCTAGCAGTGTGGCTGTTAGCATGTCTTAGCATTAATGTTTCTCCTTACAGAGTGTGCTAGCAGTGTGGCTGTTAGCGTGTCTTAGCATTAATGTTTCTCCTTACAGAGTGAACTAACAATGCAGTTGATAGCATATCTTAGTATTCGTGATTCTTTTTCCCAACATGTCCTAGAACTTGCTTGTTAGCATGTCTTAGCTGTTATGTTTCGCCTTACAGAGTGCCCTAGCACCTGTCAGTTAGCATGTCTTAGCATTTGTGTTTCTTTTTACAAAGTGTCCTAGTATATGCCTGTTAACATGTCATAGCAGTCATGTTTCTCCTCACAGAGTGCCCTAGCAGTGCGGCTGTTAATCCCTCACACCCCCTGCCACCAGTCTGGGCTTGGGGGGAGTGAGAGGTGGTCTGTCCTCTCTTGATTTCTCCATCCCTCCCTCAGATAACCCTTAGAACATTTCCCAGTAGCCACATGACTGCCATAGACACGAGCTCATTCAGCATTAGTGTAATCCTACACCCTCAATTGGCTCTCATGTGCAAGTGAACCCGCCCCTTTTGGAAAGCAAAACCCACTCAAGGCCTGTGCAAGATCACTCAAATCTGAATGATGGGAAAGCCAACCAATTTAAAACCACTGGCCTCATATTAGCACTTGATTTGTCAACCTGCTTTCAAAATAGTTATTTTTGATTTGAGTTGTCTTCTAAGTTCAAAATCCAGCTGAGATTTGGGTTCAGTTGTTTAGCTGGCATGTGAACAGAAGTTTTAATGTTGCAGGTTCTCCTTCACATGGGATTTTTGCAGAGTGTCTTAGGCTGATTTATTAAGTTAGTTTCTGCCTATTCGGTAATGGGTGTGATGTTTTTGGAGAAGCCAACATGACGGAACATTGCTCACTTGAACATGCCGATATTAAACCCAATTTTTTTGCTGTTTGTTCTGCCTTGGTGTCATTATTTGGTGGGATGGTTCTAGCTGGCTTTAGTCCACTAGGTTTTGGTCATTTTCTCTCGTCATTAGGTTGTTGAGTATACACGCAAGCTGTCTGTTTTCCAGGATGACATCATGTCGTTTGATGCTGAGAGGCAGGCTGCCTACATGCAGATCTACAGGCCTGTATACTTCCAGCTGGTGGATGTTCTGCTGCACAAGGCCCAGTTCCCCACAGATGAGGAGTACGCCGCCTGGTCCCCTGATGAAAAGGAGCAGTTCAGGATCTACAGGTAGGCAGTAGGGGTGTAACGGTACACAAAATCACGGTTCGGTATGTACCTCGGTATTCAGGTAACGGTTTGATATGTTTTTTCGGGACAGTGGGGGTAAAAGAAACTAAACATAAATTGCTTTTTTTTTTTCTTTTTTTTTTTTTGGTTTGCTGAACAAAATATGACTCTTAAAAAATCTCTGTCAATACTGCTGCGACCTACTAATAAAATAATTAAATTACTTAAAAGTAAAATATATATATATATATATATATATATATATATATATATTCTCAAGTAAATAAAGGTAAAATAAATATCCATTTAGAAAATTAACTGTACCTTCAAGTGCTGGTTTATCTGTATCTATCTATGCGTGCATGTGTTTCTGGGCTCAGGGGAAGCACAAAGGTGTTTTAAATTTTCATAGCAAAAATTTTTGGTACAAATATGTATACCGTTACACTCTTAGTAAGCAGGAGGCCACCAGAAGGTCCAGTTCAACAATTGTACAGAACCCCTGTGTGTGCTGCAGGGTGGACATCTCTGACACGCTGATGTACGTGTACGAGATGCTGGGCACCCAGGTCCTTAGCAACCTGTATGATAAGCTGGGGAGGCTGCTGATGGAGCCGGAGAGAACGGCACCCTGGCAGGTCTGTTCTGGGGATCCGGGGGTTGGCTTGGATCTCTTCAGCAGTTTTGTAAAACTGTAATATGGTTGGCTAACCTGCCCGCCTGTCTTCCCTGCAGCATACAGAAGCCCTGCTGTATGGCTTCCAGTCCATCGCTGAGACAACAGATGTCAACTACTCAGACGTCATCCCTGGGCTCATCGGGCTCATTCCCCGAATCAGCATCAGGAACGCGCAACTGGCCGAAACGGTCATGTTCACCATAGGTACCTTCGGGAAAACGGGGGTTACCCGTGCAGGGTTATCCGTCTCCTTGTGGACTTTTCCTGATGTCACATGGTTTCACCTTTGATTTTAGTCGTAGGTGGGGGGCAGGTAGCTGTAGGGTCACTGTAATGGTTGATTTAATGGAAAAACCAGGTCGAACCGGGTTACATTTTTCTAAAAATGGAGTCTTGCTGTTTTGAGTGATGGAATGCATGTTGTCCCCATAGGTGCCCTGGCCGAGTGGCTGGCCGACCACCCCGTCATGCTGGGTGCTGTACTCCCCATGGTCCTTCAGGCCCTGGGGAACCCCGAGCTCTCGGTATCCAGTGTCTCCACGCTGAAAAAAATCTGTAGGGAGTGCAAACAAGACCTGCTGCCATTTGCCGGTGACATCATCGCTGTGTCGCAGGTCAGGTGACCTCCCTTTTCCTCTTTGGCTACGAGCTGGTTTTAATGCTTGAATATTTAAATGAGTGCTATAGCCCCTGTAATTGGCTGGTTCTGCGTTAAGTGGTTTAGTTCAGTATTTTGTCTCAAGTTTGCTTTGGAATTTGATTTGCAATTTTTGTCTTACACATGGTGACTGGTCTCCCTTTACAGGAAGTGCTCATCAAGCAAATCCACAAGGTTGGTTCTCAAGTAATGGTTTTTTTTTGTTTTGTATCTCTCACTGCTGGTGTGTTCTGTGTGTCTTACTGTAACAAGTCTGATTGTGACTGACTTGTACGAGTGCTACCAGCTGTCTTCCTGGAATCAGTTTGTAACCAGCTGGTCTGTTAATCAGTCACTGCACACAGACCATATTACTCACCCACTGCACCTGGCATACAGGGGCAGCTCTGCCTCTCTTTCACTGCAATCTGGTCCCATCATTCTGTGCACAGTCCAGCCAGTGCATGTGGCTGATGCAGGCACTGGGCTTCCTGCTGTCAGCCCTCCCAGTGGAGGAGATCCTGGAGAACTTGCTGTCCCTCATCACTCCCTACATCCAGCAGCTGGAGAAGCTGGCAGAGGAGGTGGTAAGCCAAACAGTGGCTGCTCTCAAGGAACCTGGCGTTTGTCCCTTAAGGTAGTGTTTCCCAAGCTGGCCCTTGGGGACGCACAGACAGTCCAAGTTTTTGCTGGGAGCGAGCAAAAATATGGACTATCTAGCAGGGAGGGAACAAAAACGTGGAATTTCCATGAGGTTGAGAAGCACTGTCTTTGGGGACCATTTGTGGAACTTTATAATTGGAAAGATCAGCCTGACTTTACCTTAATGTTTAAATTGTTGCTTTCCAAACCACTGAGCACTTCCAGTTGTATGTTCTATTTTTCTTCAGCCATCATGCTGTTTGATTAAACTAACCAACCAGTCTTGAAACCCATAATTAGATAAAACAGATTTGCTGAGGAGTCTGGGAACCCATGGTTTCAGTGAGTCATTCTGAAATAATACTCAGACAAATGAGTCATTCTGAAGTGTTATTCGGGTCAGTGAGAGTCATTCTGAAGTGTTATTCGAGTCAGTGAGAGTCATTCTGAAATTACTCAGGACTCGCAAATTTTAGCAGAAAAGCTGCAATAGATATAAGACCCTCAGCTGATTTGGACTCTAAGTCAGGGCTGGCCTGACCATCTGACATAATGGGCAAAAATTTATCCCCCCCCCCTCCATCCCAAGCCAGTATTGCTAGCAGAAGTTATCATGAAGGATCCCAAAGTCCAGCTCCCATCTAAGTAAGTCCTGGTTGTTACTGGTGTGGTTTGAGAAGATGGGTCCTCTTTTTACAGCCTAACTCCTCTAGCAAGGTGGCCATCATCCACAATCTCGGCATTTTGTCCAGCCTTTTCACCACACTGGATATCAACAAACAGGAGGAGGCAACTCGGGAAGGCTCTCCCCCTGGTGAGGCAGTCCCTGCCCAGCTGGGTGTCAACCCTGTGAGTGCACATGAAACACATGAATGTTAGTTAAAGGTCAAGTAATGGTGATAATCAAAGGCTGAGACCTGCTAAAGCAATAGTCATTAGAGTTGGACTTTTGGTCCCTCTTAGGTGGTGATGGTGCTACAGCAGGTCTTCACCCTGATCCAAACAGTGCTGAGCAAGTGGCTGAACGACCCTCAAGTGGTAGAAGTGAGTGTTCGGCCACTGCTGCTATTATCTCAGGTCAAGGTGCTTGTGATCTTTTGACATTTGACCTCTATATTCTTCGCTGCGTGCCCCTTTCAGGCTGTGTGTGCCATCTTTGAGAAGTGCATGAAGACTCTCCTCAATGACTTTGGTCCCATAGTGTCCCAGTTGAGCAAGATGTTGGGCCAGGTGTATGGTACCGTCCCCCAAGCCTCTGTGCTTAATCTTATAAGCCTGGTGAGTTTAGACCCGATCATATTCCCTAGCTGGTTTCAGACTTTCCACAGATGCCCCTGGGACACAGTCTTGGGTGTTCCTATGTATTACCACTCAAAAGTTTGAGTATACTTGCTGTAAATTAGGTTATTCTACGCAATATTTTTTTTTCCAAAATACTTAGATCAGGGGTGGCCAATCTTATCTGCAAAGGGCCGGTGTGTATACAGGTTTTTGGGATAACCTGTAGGTCAGCTGTTCAAACCCAGGTGTGAGGACTCTTCAGCCAATCAGTTATCTAATTAGTGACCTAATTAGGGAGTTGCAGCGAAAACCTGCATACACACCAGCCCTTTGCGGATAAGATTGTCCACCCCTGACTTAGATGAAAGAAAACCCATTATAATACATAAAATATATGCAATACTGAAGAATTCTAAATCTTGGATTCCTCCAAATAATTAGTTAAAAACATTCTGCAAGAAATCACCTGACATTCCTTCCCTGCTCTTCTGTAGCAGTTCCCACAGATGTAGGATTTTTTGGGTTGACTGTTTAATGTCATACATGTTCTTGAGGATTGAGATCTGAAGAATGAGGCAGGCCTGATCATTAGTTTGAGTTATCATTCACTTTCCTTCTTTACCAAACAGTTCTTGCATAAGTTCTTGTACAATTCTGCCCAGTCAACCATGATCCAGATGGAATGGTATGCCTTTGAAGTAGGATGTGGGAGCCATGCTGGTTGAGACCCATTAATTTCACAAAGATCTCTCACCAGCCATGCAACCCCAGACCATGACACTGCCCTCTCCATGCCTGACAATGGGAGCTATTCATGAAGATCTCATGCGTTTACTCTCTCTGCACCTTGCAAATTGTTTTGGATCCAAATATTTGATTTTTTTTCTCTCAGTAGCCCATAATACCGGCCCCCACTCCTGTGCAGTAAGGAGTTAAATGTTTGACTGGTACTCAACCTTATCTCTGTTTTCAGATGATTCACAGTTTTGCCAATGAGGAGGAACATTACCCAGGGATCAAAGCTGTTTTTGAACTGGTCACCTCTGTCACCCATTCCATCTTTCAGCAAGGTAGGGAGACAGCAGGAGAGTGTGGTGTAAGAGTGTGTGTGTGTGTGTGTGTGTGTGTGTGTGCGTGTGTGTGTTCGTGTGTGTGTTTGCATCTGTGGTCATGTATAAACAATCAGTCAGAACACTTTCATTAACATCAGATTTTTTATTCCTATTAAGCATTGGAAAGTTGATTGAACAACAAATGAAAATATGTCAAATAAAACAAGGTTCCTTTATAACATGGAAAGAGTATGTAACAGTGCATGTCTGACATCCTATTAACTGTTTGTATGGTGATGGAATAGTTCAGTTCTAGGCTGTCATTTAACGTGAAATGCAATTGTTAACCGTTTCATCCCATGAAACAGGGCAGTATTTAATGCCCTTTGTAGAAAGACTTCCTCAAATTTGCTCTACTGTTTGAACTGATAGAGGAGGTTACTTTGATGAATCAAAGATATGACATTTTCTTGCTAATAAAGGTACTCAAATGGTGAACAAACTTTGTTTGCAAAGAACATTGAGTGTATTTTTAGCAAGTGTTAAGTGAGTAACATGCAAATGTACAAAATCTCAGTGTGTGCAAAAACTTTTGACTAGTAGTGTATATTACATTGTGGGGGCATTTGGTCCCCACAATGTGAAGAAAACCTGTTGATTTGACATTGTGGGAATCATTTTTTCGGTCCGCGTAAGGGGAACCTGAATTTTAGAAAAAATTGTTACTGCAATCAAAAAACTGAAAATGCTGAAAGTCTTGTATTTTTTTTGGTTACTTATGGTTAAGGTTAGGGCTGGGTAGGGGTTAAGGTTGTCATGGTGGGATTAGGGTTATGACTGCAGAAATGAATAGAGAGACTGTGTGTCACATGGCTGGGGTTTCCTGCAGTGACGGGCTCCGCAGGAATCCCCTTCTAACCTGCTGTCCTTCTTTCCTTTCCCATGTTTAGTTTCCGTCTCGGTGCACAAGTACGCATTTGTCTGATGTGTCCTGTCATGTAGATTTTCCACTGGTTTTCCTTGCCTTCTTTTATTATTATTATTATTGTTATTATTGCATCTGTGTTATGTTCTAGGTCCCAGGAATCATCCCGATATTGTTGATTCATTTATGCAGCTCCAGGCTCAGGTGTGTCTTCAGATTTTCTTATTTCATTCACTTTCACTTTTTCTCATTATGTCTACAGAGACCATGTAGAATATCGTGGGAAATTCATTTTTGCAAAAAAAATAAAAATAAAAAAATGTATCCAGTAACATCTTTTTACATGGCGGGTTCCTCACAGTATTGAGACCTGTGTTCCTCCTCTCAATACCCTTGATAATCGTGTGTGCGGGGGGGGGGTTCCAGGGATTGGGGTTCCACTCAGGGTCCTGACAGATTCAGGTGATGTTGTTCCCTATTCTCTGGGTTATTTCTGCTCACACAGGCGCTCAGGAGGAAGGCGGACCTTTTTCTATCTGAAAATGTTGATGTAAAAGCTGTTTTCCGCTGTGGTGAGTGTGGCGGCACACCGGTACACGTATCCGTCGCCGTGCAGCACTCTGGCACAGGCTGCCGTGTTCTGCTGCATGCTCTAGGGCACACAGAACCGTCCCACACCACTTAATTGGTATCACTGTTATGAAGTGGCAAAATGACGTGATAATTTTACAGTAAATACTGTGGTGGCCTGAATGTAGAAGGTAAACTCTGGTTCCACTTTCAGGGGTGATGTCTCTGGAGTTTCCAGAGGCTCCGACTGTGAAGTCTACGTGTCTGTTTTTTGTGAGTATGCTTGGGCGTGTTCTTCCATGTTGATATGTTGCTGTAATGCAAAATGTCGAGATGTCTGCACACACATGTAACAGTTCTTACCTTGTAAATAATCTGCTTTTTTCTGCTAATTTTAGGTTTAATAATGGAATAATAAGATTTCCAGCGTGAGTCTGAAAGCATGAGTGTCATGCCAGATGCTTGAGATTTGACAGCCATGAAAACGTAAATTTTTTGTTTCACCTGAGTTTATTTATATAACAGGTAACATTACTTTATACATATGTTAAAAAGTAGAAACTTCAACAAACATGAAATCAACAATAAACTACGTCTATTTATCCAACATGTTATATAATACATACTGTATTAGAAAACTTTTCAGCTGTATGATTTCAGGACAGACCAGCCACTCTGTTAGGAACATTACGGCTTTTTGGTTGCGGGTGTTAGCTTCGCTGCTGTTATTAGGCAGCCACTCTGTTAGGAACATTACGGCTTTTTGGTTGCGGGTGTTAGCTTCGCTGCTGTTATTAGGCAGCCACTCTGTT